GTCTCCGCGGAACTGTTCACCCGGATGTTTTAATTATCAGCTGAGAGTTGGCGAGGGTCTATGTGTCTGAAACATGCTAATGTGCAGGTTTCGGATCCATGGAAATCCTCTCTCCCCTTATACCTGATTCGTTGTCAGCAAATATAATACCAGAGCCTTGGCCTCCTTCAAGTTTACTAAGTCTATTTTGAACACGGAACTTCTGAGGCCAAGTTTAAACTGCCTTTTCATAAACTAATCTTAGACCTAATATCTTTTTGCACTTAACGCAATTTGACAGCTTGTCATATAAATTCAAAATATGGTAAAATAATTACATAAAAATTCCTCGTAATTTTTTAATTCCGAAAAAGTAAGCCAAACACGGCCGAAAGTAAACCAAAGCCCACAGTCATTAGTGTAAAATTATTGAAGGACTACAAAACTTGATGCGACATATAAGGCACAAAAATTTGGACGGTGATTTACTTTAAGGTAAGTTCTCGTAGAAACATAAGCAAGTGACGAAATCTAAGTAGAAACGGGTCAGGGGCAGGGTTTGTGACCTTTTTCAAGGATTAAAAAGCTGGTTTTTACTATTCCCTTAAAAAGTTTATACGCAGGCTGGGAAAGTATACGTCAGAAAACTTCTTTCCAACTCGTGACCCGTGAATATGAGCTTCAACTTTTACGCCGCCTCCACTCCTCTGGGAAGGCTGTTCGTCCACTCAAAACCACTCACGCGAGAACTTCGTGAGTCTATTTGAATCCAATTACCGAACCGCAGAAGTAAACGACGGGTTTTAGAACTTGAAAGCTAGATGCAATGGTCGGCGGCGGTAGCTGGCAAAAATTTGCTGCCCGTTTATAAAGGGTGAGATAGAACCGTTGACGTAGAATGAACCTCTAGGCAAGTTTATTTTTTGACTCGCTATTTTATTCGAATTTAAATTTCTGAAAAGTCATTTAGTGAAAGGGAAAGACATGAGCGAGTTTGACGAAAGGATTCAAATTGTGTAGTAAATGTCTATTGTTGAAACAGTAAAACAACTACTCAAACTTGACAAGAGGCTCCAATTTAATCGGCTGAGCTTAAGAGATTTGCGAGTATTTTAAATGGGAACAAAAATCACATTCGGCATTACGTTTGGAAGATACTATCGTATATCTGAAAAAAAGTTAGGTCTGCAAAAGTTAACTGAGGTTCAGTTTCTAACCCGCAATGACGCTTTGTAGGACGGGAGCTAACGGACGGGCAGATCAAACATTCAGTGCCCGGCATGCCCGGTAGTGTGCAGCTGCAAAACGCCACCACTAGCGGACTTTTCTTATACTGTCACAAAAGTTGATATTAATCAAAACGAACTCAGTGTCCGACAAATTGGTAATACATATAATTTTACTGTCCTTTTTATGAGTGGTTGGCAGGAATTTGACCGATATCTAGAACGGAAGGTGTGAGCTTACATCATACACTGCAAGAACAGAGGATGACTTGGTCGTTTTTCCAATAAGAGGGCCATAATAAGTGCGTGTTCAATTAAAGAGTTTTAGGTATTCATCCAAATGCATCTTTTCGGTTGTCATATCGGAAGTACTACATCACTAAGACAGGAGGAGCTGTCTCATGAGCAGAATTACACTTGAGGCCAAATCCTGCGCTTTCCATTGAGTATTGCTGAATTTTCCTACTTGAATTTGAGATTCACTGTCTGTCCAGAAAGGGGCATTTATATGCATGGCAAAATTTTCATGTAATATAGTAAACTAAGCTATCAGCAGGAGGGTTCTGGGTTGAATAAAAGAGAAAGCAGGTGACAGTAGCAAAAGCACGAAACAAGGATGGACGCAGTGACGCATATATATGTAAGTCATTATTAAGGTTCAGAAACGCACCTCAAGTTGTCAGATTGACGACCAGATTTCTAATGCAGGACTTTTAACGGAAGGTGTCCATATTCATACCATAATTGGGTCTGATTTATAAGTTAAGAGTGAGGATGATATGACCAACACCGAAGAATGATTTGCAAAACAAGAAAACGTGAAGATTTTCATGGGAACACTTTAGAAAGCAGCACGTAGAAGAGAAGGGGCTTGGGGCAAGACTACGGTTTTAGTAAGTTTGCATTTCAGTCGTGGAATTCGTAATAACAATCAAAGGATGGCTTTAGGAGCGTAGCAGCATAGGTAAACGGCGCTTCTTTTAGCTATGCTGTGGCAGCGCCTCGTACTTCTACTTTGCTAAGTACTCCAAGTGATTTATCAGTTCATATTAGGGCAATAAAACGGTCCGTCAGGCAGAGGATTCGCAAAATGCCATCTGGTCTTTATCGTTTACCCAGTTCATATGGCCTTTGATTCTGCCGGCTGTACTCAAAATTCTATTTCACGGCCCCTTGGCTTTATCACTAAGTACACTTCGCTGTCGTTTAGGAATATACCAATTTTCACTCTTAATTAATAGGTGAAAACAGCTTATGAACACTGTTCCTTCTGCTGCTGATGGTTATCTCTAACGAGAGATTCTTGTCCAGGTTCAAAAGCACAGAAAGTTAGGTATCGGACTCCGATTCTTAATCCGTTTCCTTCTTTCTTACATCGGCAAGTCGTCGAGACCTAAATGTCCACCAGTATTCGTGAAACTGCGAGCTACACATCCGTCTTGGCAGGCGGTAGGGAGTACGCTAACGTCTTCCCTGTCTTTAGCGTTAAATAGTACTCGATGCCCCCAATTAACCTACTCTTAAGACCCCTTAGTGATCTCACTTTTAGTCATTGTTTATAGCCAAAGTAGAAGAAAAGAACAAAGCACAATTCTAATCAAGGTTAATTCGTTTTTCTACCAAAAAAGGAATTCTATTAAGATGACCAGAAAACACTGAGGCATGTGGAGAAATGGGTCCCTAGTTTACATTATTTCGTCCGCTCTAGCGCCCTTCATTTCTTCTTCTGTGTTTTTTAAGCGACCATGTTGGTGGTAGCCCGGAGTTTGCCCTATTTCCCCGAGTTCAATCTTTGGAGTGTGGTCGAATGCCTCCTCAACCCGACAAAACGGAGCGCGTTGCTATTGTACTGTGCCAAAACGGAAGCTACATTGTTTCATGGCATGCGGAGTTGAGGCGTCAGTGTTGACGTTAATGTATACATCGTTGGGAGATAAATTGAATATCAACTTATAGTTCGGTGAGAGAGCATGTAGCCAGTTAGGGGGGGTGACCTAAGGCCAATAAAAGTGTCACACACAACGTGGGGACAATGATGGCATACGATAATCCTAACACATTGGTGACCCGACTGGACGACACTAAAGACACTTTCTCTTTGAACGCGAAAAATGATCTGAGGTGTAAATTCCACTTCTGGTTTTATTATTTAGGCATCTAGTCAGTGACTGATCTCACGAAATAATAACCGGAATTCCAAAATACGTTTTCGATTAGGAAGGATTACTTAAGTGGAGCTGTAATACTGACTATCTTCCGACGTAATACCGTGATATTTCAGACACACCGGAATGTTGGCTTCTGAATGCACTTCTTTTAGGCCGTCTGCAGAAACCGCAATCGGCAAAAAATGACCACTTAAGTAGCATGCATTTTTCCTGTCGATTTTCGGTGCCCCCGAAAAATCACATATATTTAGTAGAAAACCTCATAAAAATGCTATTTCTAGTGCTCACTCGGTAGTAACTTATGTCTTTTCGAAAATTTATGCTCGACGATCGCGTATCTTTTGGTTTTGAAAAGATTTTATTTTCGAATAATTTTGAACCCGATCTTCCATTGCATTTCTGTTTAGGGTTTTCAGTCTAAAAGCTGCATCACTCCCGTGTAAAGAAAAACATAAATTCCTCTATGTCGTTAAGAAAATATCATATGGGTCTCATAAACTGCTGCGGCGGATGTGGACTATGTTGTACATTCAATGAGAAACATTATTAAAGATGGATGCTATTCGGATGGGCATTGCACGGCCAAAAAAAATCTCGTAGATAGGAACTTTTTAAAACCGAAAGCTGCTCGTTCTTCGAGTAAAAAATCTGGAGAAGCTATGAATTTCTACCAAACGAGCACAAGAATGAGTATTTTTGTGGTGTTTTTAGTAAAATATTTTCGAATCTATAAGGGGATCTAAAATCGATAGGAAAAGTGCATGCCACTTAAGTGGTCATTTTCTGTCGATTGCGGTTTCTGCTGTCGGCCGAAAAGAGGTGCATTCAAAAGACAACATCCTGGCGCGTCTGATATATCACTGGATTACCTCATAAGGTAATTAATATTACAATTCCGCTGAAGTAATGCTTTTTAATTGAAAACGCACTTCAGAATTTCAGCTAACATTTCGTGAGATCGGTCACTGACTGCGCATATTTTTGCTAATTATCAGCTATAGTACATAACCCCGTGAAATGTCAATAAACAGGAGCAACAGAGATAACCTCAAAATAATTTTCGATCCATTTATATTTTGTCCCGTCGGAGGCGAAGACCATCAAGGCCTAGGAAATCAACGTTGACTTCCACGGAATAAAGGAGACTTTCCCACTTATTTTGCAAAGGCCTTTGGTTAACAGTAAAGATTTCTTCATCGGGTAGTTTCTTGCCACAATCATCTCACCCTTCCGTTAGAATCTCGGGTTGGACATATTTGTATAAAGTTTGACAGAAGTAAGGAATCTCCATACGTAGTTTTTCTTGTGTTCGGTGGTTTAGAATTCGAAAATATGATCTCACATTGTAGTCCGACGGTCGTTGCCGACGATGTCCACCGTGTGCTCCACAGCAAGGTGGAGCAGGGATGGCGACTTGTGCGTGATTTGGTCTATAGTAAGTGTAGACTTGCCCAGTTTCTACTGCACTCTCTCCTCCTTCCCCTTCTTAGACCCGGTGTCAAGACATAGTCAAGAAAATCGGAAGTGGGAGAGAACGCAGGTGGCTGGCACGACCGGACCCGCACCTAGGCGTGCCACCACACCCCTTTGGTCCTAAAAATCACTTGGCCAGGATTTTAACCAACAAATGGGTCAGAAGGACGAGGATGACAACCACGCCCACGGTCTGTATACCCAGCGGGAGCGCCAGCGTATCTACCGGCAGGGAACCAGGTGCCAGAGAACTGCCAGAGCACACCAAGCTACGAGAGACATGGTTTGCTGATCATGGCATAGCAGACTCATGCAGTCCTTAAGGCCCATGATCTCACGTACCGGGCTACACACAGTTTCTTCAAATTGAATTTATGTGGCACATGTGATAGGGCGGATTTTATGTCATCTCAGCTACTACGCCTGGTCCCGTGCCCTACCCCTGGCAGATGAAGGCCAAAGAATGCGGAAGTGGGACCAACTCTGTGCGTACTTTCCTTATTACTTTAGAATATAGTGGGTGGGCTTGCACAAAATCGCTCTCATTCTCGTCCCATATCTCAACTGTTTCCATGACAAGGCAGAGTAAATGTGATTGAGTACAGGTCTGAGCGCAGTGTTAGACCGAACACCAAGCTTCGGTTTTGGCGTCCCACAATCGACACAGATCAGAATTCAGACACTCGGACCTCACACTGGTGAAAATTACCCAAGGTCGCGTTATAGCACCGTGGCAATTAGAACTTATGCACAAAGAGCCGAGCTATCTCACCGGTTAAAAGGCTGCGAAGCCACGTCTTTTTGCACGTCAGAAATGAGGACTTTCACGACGCTATATGTGGTGCGAGATGCCGTTGACCGCCATCATTGTTTTCCTTACTTCCATTCCTGTTCCCACTTTACTTAATACTTCTACTAGTAGCAAGACGAGCATTTTTCCGATCAGAGCACATTCCGACTTTGTGGACATAACGCGGTTTCAGACTGAAGTTCACCTGATTTTACACAGATAATTCCTTAAAGGTGATGCCGAACCTAAGGGCTTTCTGATGCAATGATTTTACTCCAAGTTTTCCACTAACTTCCAATAAAATCGCAAAACTGCATAACAATCTTCATTGTTAGATATTAACTAATTTTATGCCAGTGATCTCTTGGTTGACTAATACGTGAGTGCTGTCGTCACTTGCGACTGAATACAGTTGGCTGAGTTCCTTACTGTATTTTGAAAAACAGCGTGTACCCGTCATTTATAACTGGTAGCTTACATACTTGGCTCAACCAATGGGATAAAGTTTATCGAATAGGTGCACGGAAAAGTGTAACAATGACTAGCCTAACAGCGCACCGGTTTGTGCACCTGATATGGAAAGCCAGACCAGGGCAAAGTGTGTCTCATTACTAAGATGTCATTAAAAACGAAGTAACCGAGGTGAAGCAGCCGTTGCTTCTTATTAGACAAGATGCTCTCGCATTCTGTGCTTGAACCGGATCTCGAATAACCTTCTTCCGCTTTTCGGGAATTTGTTGGTTGAGGGCTGTGCCTTGTGCTAGTCCTTAAAAACAACTGCTGACCAGGTCCTTTGGTGGGCGCTAGTCGCTACTTATCAAGGCACATCAAGACTCGACGTATCTTTCCAACAAATTCAATGCACTACGGTAGTTCGACCGTCTTTGCCGACGAAGAGCGTTCTAGTCACAGCCTGCGACAGGGTTAGTGTCTTGACAACTATCCATATATCGGTGAGGTTTGGTTCTGCAGCCTCACTTGATTGATAGCATATGGTTAGCTTACTAAAACATTATTCATTAACATACCTAATTTAGCCACTCGCCGTATTAGGAAGGGGGAAAAATAGCAAACAGAGCTCGAAGCAGGCGCAAGGAAGCGCGTGAAGATGGCGTTTACATATTCTCCCCGCGACACGGTCATTCGCTGAACTGTTAGGGTAAGGTAGGTGCAATCACAAATGGAGGACCACGGAGGGAATCGCGGGATAATTTGCAGTGCATGGCCATTATAGTGGAACCGATGGGGTTCTAATCCGTCCGAACAATCCCATTAGCAAACCTATTTGGCCACTCGCAGGATTAGTATAATAAAGAGGACGCAAGCAGGGCTCGAAGCACACGCAGGGAAGCGCTTATGGACTATTACCTGATGTAAACGAGGATGGCGTATAAGCACTTCTCCCCCGTGGCACAGTCACTCGTTGTATTAAAATGGCAAGGAAGATGCAAAAACGGGATATTTGTAAAGTCAGAGTACTTGCATCTACTAAGCTTGTTTTCGGAGGCTAACCATATGGTATCAAGCAAGTAGGGCTGCAGAACCAAACCTCGACGATATATATACATATATGTGTGTTCATTGAAATTTCGGTTCTGACCCTAAAAAGTCATGTCCCGATGATTTAACTCCAAGTCTTGCACTGATTAATTTCTGAAATTATTCACCTGATTATTCTCTGGAGTTCATATACCAGAAACCGCTAGAGAACGCTGGGGGTCCCACTGAAGAGCCGAACCCCTCGCAACTGTGTCACGCAGCGGCAGAATATCGGCGAAACACGTGTCTGGGTTTTTAGCAAGTATCTATGTCGGGAGTACGGTATAATACATTTAATATATATATATATATATACATATATATATATGAAGAGAGAAGGCTCGTCGGAACAATAGAGTTGTACTCGTGAATTTTCGAGCTGGTGACACCAACCCGTCGTCAGACGAAATAAAAAGAGGAGAAAGTGAAATGGTCAGACAAAATTGGTTGACGTGACAGGGCAGCCACTGACAGACAAGCAACTAATGTATGAAATGCGGGTGGACACATAATTAGGCTAGGATCTGTGGCGGGGGAGGGGGAACTGTTGCGGCTCCCTGTGTTGGAGGGTAGAGGGATGATGATTCAAAGGGACTACGGACAGTGGACTTAATGATCGTCGATCTGACATGCGGGCAGAGGTCAGTGAGCCAACGTAGAGGTGTTAGGGATTGCAGATGCGGTTCACTTTGTCCGGGGTAGGGGATGACGAAATTTTGCGATTATACGTGACCCAGTGTTGTTTAGCGGCTGTTGTTAGGTCGTGGGCGCAGGTCAGTGAGCCGGACACGCAGACCTTCGTAATGAGCATCCAGATCGACATGGCGATTGATGCTGGTCGTGTTAGAGTGCCAGGCTTCGAGGAATTCTCGGGCCTGTTTGGTGTTTGCCGTGGCAACAAATTCAGTTCCTTCCCAATTGAAGCGATGATCGCATTCAAGGGCGTGCGTAAACACCAGTGACAAAGGGTCACGTCGGCGGATGGCTAGCTTATGTTCGTTTATACGCGCCCCGAGTCGTCGGCCTGTATGACCAACATAGTCGCCAGAGCAGTTAGCACACGGAATGCGGTAGATGACATTGGTTTGCTGCTCTTTGGGTATAGGATCTATTACTCGAGATAGCGTTGCGCGCAGGGAGGACGCTGGCTTGTGGGCAATAAAGATGCCAAACCGATTTAGTTGTCGGGCGACCGCTTCGGAAATGCCCTGCATGTAGGGTAGAGAGAAGTATTTCCGTAGTTCTGGTCCCTCATTAGAACGAGCGCCTTGTGGTTGTCTCCGATGTCTGAGACAATTTTTCACAAATCTAACCGGGTATCCGTTGAGCCGGAATAACCGATACAGGAAAGCGAGTTCTTTCTTAAGTAGATCATCGCTGTTACAGTACCGATGCGCCCGGTGGAAAAGGGTTCGGACACAGCTCCTTTTGTGAGCCGCCGGATGGTTGCTCTCGTCGCGTGTGCATTCCCTGGCCTCACCTGCAAAAACCCCTATTACCACCGGTCTCGTATTAGAGGTGACTGGGGTTTATATACATCAGGTGGGGCTATATAACCACATCCGACCAGAATATCTTGTCAAATAAGTGCAGGAAAGTTACCGCATGGGACAGCGGTGGCTGTGATGCTGATGATGATGATGATGATGATGATGATGAGGAGGAGGAGGAGGAGGAGGAGGAGGAGGAGAAGGAGGAGGAGGAGGGCGGCGGCAGCGGCGGCGGCGGCAACGACAATTTCGACAAAGATTAAGACTACCACAGGCACCAAGAAGTGTTCAGGAAAGGAGTTGTAGTAGTAACTAATGCTGTTTTACCATCGTTCCGGCTCGCCTTGTCCGTTAGCCCCTTCTTTCAAACAGAATGCGAGGTTTCTTCCGATGTAGTATACTCCAGATATCTGAGGCCTCTGATTCCTTTGCGGGCAGCTGGCTGGACATAACTAACTTCTCCCTTTCAGTGTCAAAGGCAGGTAGATTAAGGTGGAGAGTAAACTAAGGAAACTCCTCATAGACATATGACCTATGCTTGTTACGATCTCGCTGATCGACTCCTTCTGTCCGTAGTCCAGGTCTAATTTAACGATCTGAAAAACTTACTGAAAATGACAGGAAGAAGGAAGATCAAATGAGAGCAGTCTGCGACTAAGCATTGTTAGAAAGACCTGTTCGCGGTCAGAAACAGTTATCTGTGTTGCGCAGCTCCAACTTAAGAAGACTAAAGTCGGAAGGAAAACGGTGTAAGGACGGATGATTTGAACAGACACACCGCAGCCGTGACGGTTGTGTCATTGCAAATAAATTCATAAAGCATTTGATCTGTTTATTTTCTATCCAAAACCTGAGAAAGTGCGTCCGTTCTCAAGCGGTAAATACTTATGACAGAAAGCATATTTCAGACAGCAGAAAGTGAGGTAGGCAATACCCAAGTTCGCTGACCAGGCCGGAGACAGGTTTCGAGGGTTCCTAGGGTCCGGTCTCATGTTCGTTCGTCTGTCGTGCCCGACGAGACCCACTACTATCTAGGGGGGCTACGGTGCCTTGGGCTACATCGACGCGGCTTACTCCTTTCATTCCCACCGAACTTCAGTGATACGAAGGAGTCAGAGCAACTGGAAGTTGGCTTGGATACGGTGACTGGTATGGCATCTCCTCCTTCCCCGTTAAGCATGTAACGTGTGCTCTGGCTCGTGTACCTACCTGAATCAGGCTACGCAGACGCCTGTATTAAACAGAACGCAGGACCTCTGTAAGGTCTGACTCCTCTCTGCCTTACGTTTCTGGACCCAAGCCTTTTATCTGCTGCAGCTGAAATATTCGGAGGGTTTATTGAAGTTTCGCGTGCGTGCGCGACTGAATCGGGTTCGCGCGAGTGACGTTCATACTTCTTTACGCCACCTTAAAATATAAATCATCAGTCGTGTGCTACAGGGGGGGGGCGTCAACGGGACATACAAGATGAGTCCATTCTGCATACCGCTTTGGGCAGGAACAAAGCCGACAGTAGCTCTCACCATGTACGTCAGCATGGGGTGTGCGATCGTGAGGGCAGCGCGTCATGTGCCCACACGGCTGGACGTAGTCAGAGGCGGGTCTTGGGCGACGCCTAAAAGTATCGGAGGCTCTCCCCCCCCCCTCCTCCACAAACAGTGTGCGCCTCAGCGCTCAACAGTCGTCCGGGCTTTGTTCACAGGGCATCGAAGGGCCTTATCTCACAACTCGGTTCGGCTGTCCGACGGGCAGTCTCATATTTCCTCCGCATCGAGCCCAGGGTCGTTGCTCTGACAGTTCAACCGTCACAGGCGAGATTCCCACTAACTACACCACGTAGAGGGCTCAGCACCGGTGGCCCGCGCATGTGCATTATTTTATAGTGAGGCAGACGTGGGCAGCATTCTTGCTCTAACGAAGTGTCGAAGAGTTGTCATTGTCTCATGCAACCTGTGAGTACAATCATTTGAGTAAAAGGGTTGGATTCTGATACCAAATTAAAGACAGGGTGTATACCACGAAAGGCAGAAGTAACTTGCGTTAGAAAATCTCGTGAGGGTTCTTTAACTATTACCTGTCATTGAATAGCAGGAATAGTAGCTGGAGGCTACATAGGCAGGATTTTAAGGTTGAAATTAAAGTGAAATGCACACTTCATGAGGAATATAATAAATCGAAAAGACGTCTATGAATGTGCTCGCCGAGGAAAGCGCATGTGAGGTCGAGAATCCTCCTGGGAAAACTGGATTTGTGACAGGATCCAACAGCCCGTACAAATCAGGGTTTGACCTGCCGACTGAACAGTGACTCGAAACACAGAAATGTCTTTGTTTTGCAAACGCAATTTAGAACACTGATTTAAATACAGGAGAATGTGCGCCGTCTACCAGGTGCTTTGCAAAGGAGAAACGAAAGCTGGTGCGTGCGAGTGTTGAAGTCATGGTGGGACGAATCTGCATTAGCGAAATTTTGCGCACACCTAAGGCTCTAAAATCCACACGCGTGAGCGGCGGTAGGAGGATTTGCTGTAGTGGCGTACACAGGCCGGACGTCCTTAGTCGAAATACAAATCGGGTTGCGTTGTAAAGCCCTTCCTTGGCGCATAACAACCTGGGCTAATAAGCTAGAAGTGGCCATTCCAGTCTCCCTTGTCTTTGTCGGTAATACCATTCAACCTGCATTTGATTGTGTGTGAAACGCTGTTCTGTTTAGATTGCAAAGATATTGTAGCGGTTGTCTTCGACGTCGAATGCTTCGTCACTTTTCCGTATAGACGATTACTCTATCAACAGATTATCAGGAAGTATAAAAAACAAAGATTAAAGGTACTGAGACATTTATTTCCTGCTTAGTGGCTGTCATCGGTTGGACGTGGACGTACCCAATCCCTACCCTAACTTTAACCGAAACCCTAATCCCAACTCTAGCACGCTCAAGCCTAACCTTGACTCCTTGGAATTTAGCATCAGGCCACCTTCAATACGAGGATACTTATTGCCATGCTCTGACACTGCCACCAACCAGTGGTATCCCGAGCGAAGGCGATGACCTACTTGGCGGATCTGAACTGGGCTTCAGTCAGTAATGGAACATTTAAATCCAACGCCCCATGAACTGCTACCCTGGGCCCGCCATCTGTTGGCTAAGATATGCATTATGCGAGGTCGTGTGAGAGTGAGTAAGGACATGGACATTTCCGTTTTGCTTTGAGACTACTGGTCTAGAGTCAGTGCTGGCTGTCGCCTGGCGATGGGCTCCCAGTCGTAATTGATTATTCTAACAAGTAAACCGGCTGAATGCGTCCAAATTGCAGTGTGCTCGCCCACAAGTAATTAAGCAATACCAACTTTACGCTATCTAACTAGTTACAGTCGAGGTTTCATTCTCCGCAAATGATCCACATTTTCGTTTATCGCGGTTGTTGACGGTTTGACAGAAGATTTGCAACTGCTCTGTATAGGAACAGTTTTACGGCTGCAGACCGTAAGCCCTTTTACGGGCACCTGAAAGTTAGTGATGCTCGGCAATAACGTCGGAATAGCTCTTTGGGCGTCTGACTAAGCATCCCACATGACACGTTTGGTTCGCCTCTCAATTTCCCACCCATTCGCGAGAGATGAAGTGAAGGCTACGTGCGCGGGTACCGCGTGGGATGGGTATGCTTTTAGCTCAGTGTGCTGAAAGTGTGATACGATCATTCTTAATACGAGAGGGATAATTGCGACAATGGTAGAAGGGCGCCCACCGATCGTTTTTACGAAACTCACTCGTTTCGTTGTGCTTTGCGGGTTCTCCCTCTCTCGAGCCCAACCAGCAGCCGCACAGCGGCGCACGATATAGGCGGTATGTTACTACCGACAAAGACCAGTCCGACCAGTCTCCCTTGTCTTTGTCGGTAATGCCATTCTGCCTATAACTGCGGCGGCTAGCCTTGCGCCGCCACGGCCTTTGTTCATCGCCCTGTAGCGTCTTGTCTGTTCACGTTGCCCGTGAACGCTCTCAGGCACTCCGGCCTTACAGTCTGACCGAAGACAGCACGGCCGCACAGTCGAAACGAGACAGACGAACCCTGTCGTCGCCTCGTGTAGTACAGCGCGCCATTCGGACAGAAGGCCCGCGAAATTACTCCCAAAAACTCGTAAACCACCCAACATCATAGGCTCTCTCTCTCTCTCTCTCTCTCTCTCCGAGATATGGCCTAACAGAATCTACGCAAGCGCCGCCTGAGCTAAGCAAATCATGGTCTGACAAGGATAAATCTTTCATTCTGATTAATTCCATTTCCTCTTGCCAACCAGGACTTGACCTGGGAGTGTGGTGATTAACTTACACCCAGCGTATTATCTGCTATACCTTCCCGAGAGGAATTTTTTGATACAGCATCATTTTAAGCAATTTTTTCCATCTTTTAGGCGAAACCTATTCTCTAATCACCTTGATCGAAGTGTAGAGGAAAAATGCCGGAAAAAAGAAGACAGCAGCTTGAAAGGACACTATGACTCTTAACAGGGCCTTTCACGCATCACTTCTGTATCTTCGACTCAATATATGTCAGGCATTATGCCATGGATGCCATGACCAATTGTAAGGCAGTGTACAATAGGTAAGGCGTCCGACAGTTGTCATGTGTCGTCGTACTAAGATATTGATTAGGTCGAAATTATAAACAGGGGAAACTGAAGAAAGTGTTTGGAGGATACGTCTCAAAATCAGAATACTTTCCCAATAAAGCAGTTTCAAATATAATCACGTTTGGGTTAAGTTACCCCTCCCTCAATCTACTGCAAGTTATTAAATGCTTATATAGCAGCCTGACCGCGGGTTGGGCGGGTTACTGAGTCCAAGTGTGGTTAAACACACAGCTGACAGGTGGTGCCTTGTTGTTCAGGTGGTTAGAGCGTTGACTGTACTTGCTGTCGTTGGTTCAGGCTCCACAGAGACTGCAGAGTTTTTCACAATTGAGTCAGAGGAGAACTTAAGAAGTTTTAGGAAGTCCATGGGAGGGCTTTTCCCTCAAGCTAATCGTTCGCATAATAGGGCGTATTCCATTTGATTCTGCCCCAAAATCCTAACTGAATACAACCTACAGGACAAAAGAACAAACAACACTGGCAACATATTACATGAAAGAAGTAACAATGCTTTTCTGATGGTGGGAATTACATAAAGTAGCAAAACTCATGACGTCAGGAAATTTCGTCTTAGGGTGAAAATGAACTGTCGAGCTCTCGAGATTCAACCGAATTTTCTCTCCACTGAACTG